TTGTTGACATTATTATTATTGTTGTTGACATTAGTATTATTGTTGTTGACATTATTATTATTATTGTTGACATTATTATTATTATTATTGTTGACATTAGTATTATTGTTGTTGACATTATTATTATTATTGTTGACATTAGTATTATTGTTGTTGACATTAGTATTATTATTGTTGACATTAGTATCATTATTGTTTAGTATTATTGTTGTTGACATTATTATTATTATTGTTGACATTAGTATTATTATTGTTGACATCATTATCATTATTGTTGACATTAGTACTATTGTTGTTGACATTATTTCCGTGAAGATCAATACAGTTTGTGAGTCAGTGCATGTAACTTGATCTCTCCATGACTTACATGACCAGTTTATAATGTAGCATCTTACTGTGATATTTCCCTGTGGGTGGATGTGGCACCAGGTGAAGTGAGTTTCACGTGGACTCCAGTAGCAGCTTCAGCCTGGCTGGCTTTCTGTGAGAGGACAAGCTGCTGTTTCTGAGCTCTCTAAAAACAGACTCTCTCTTAGCTGGTGCAGTGAAATGATTCCAGGTGAAGAGAAAGAAACAGCTCAACTTTTAAAGCAGCTGCTGGTGGATCCACAGACAAACTCCTCCTGAGTGAAATGCAGCTGCATACAAGTGCTCCCAGGCTTTATGCAGAAGTCAGGACCATCATCTCTTCTGATCTCTTGGATCCACTGCCTCCTTTGGTCTGGGTACGTCATGAAAAGCATGGTAGGACTGATATGGTTGTTCTCTTGCCCCACAAGAACAACCAGGAACTGAACAAAAGCAACCGCGCAGAGACTGAGCCATTTCCCTCCCTGTCTAATGCTAACGCCATAGCCACCGGAAGTTGTTGAACACCAGATCCGCTTTAAAACCTGGAAGCGTGAAAAAGGTCTATCTAGGACCTTTTTCACGCTTTTTCTTGTTGTAGTATATAGTTAGCATGCATTATAAATCATGTCTTTCCAAAATCCATCCATCCATTATCTTCCGCTTATTCCAGAGTCGGCTCGCGGGGGCAGCATCTTGAGCAGGGAAGCCCAGACAACTCTCTCCACAGCCTCTTCCAGATCTTCTGGGAGGACTCCAAGGCGTTCCCAGGCCAACCGAGAGACGGAGTCTCTCCAGCGTGTCCTGTGTCTGCCCCGGGGTCTCCTCCCATTCAGACATGCCCGAAGCACCTTCCTAGGGAGGCTCCAGGGGGCATCCTTATCAGATGCCCGAACCACCTCAACTGGCTCCTCTCCATCTTTCCAAAATCTTTTAAGAACATAAGACATGTTGTAAACGGGCTCTTATGACATTACATTATATGAGTTAGCATAACATGTTATACATGTTAGTGGAAATATGCAAAACAAAGTTATATATTTGTGTCTCTAAGTATTTAAAGGTCCAATCTAGTTCTGGAAACACAATGACTTAATTTTTTTTTTTTTTTTTTAAGTTTTGAATTAAGACATTTAATTTAAATTCCCTTAAGTCACGTTTATAAATTGTTTTTTTTTTTTTAGCTAAGGATATTATATTGGGGGCCTGATGGAGATTGTCCAAGGGCCACTTTTAGTCCTTGGGCCTTAATTGTCCAAGTCTGGGATAACTGTAGGAGTTGCACAGCTGCAGAAAGAAAAGCTCTGCAGAGAGTGGTGAAAGCTGCACAGAAGATGTTGGAGTCAGTCTCCCCACCATCACAGACATCTACACCTCCACATGCAGGAAGAGGGCCACCTGCATCATGAAGGACCACACTCACTTTTTGCCCCACTCCCCTCAGGCAGTAGGTTGCAGAGCATTAAGTTTTAAAGCATTAAGTTAAACATTTAAGTTAATTGAAGTTTTAAAGCATTAAGCATCCTTGCCTTTATGTGACTGTATACCTACCCATGTGCTTCACAGCAGACTCATGTTCATGCTGATGTTTAATACATCGTATTATTGGGCAGGCATCTATTATTCTACACCTTGGAAGTGAGTCTACATTCTTATCTCCGTTAATGCAGCTGGAACCACGATGTCTACCCCCACTAGAGTTAGATCAAAACGACCGGCTCGGCCCTGTGATGTGTGCTATTACTTTTATTGGCATTTCAAGTTACCATGGCAAAGTAATTTTCAAACAAAGACGCAATATTTCACCAACTCAAAGAAGTTGTTGGTGACTGCCCACTTATTATTCTACACCTGAAAAGCATATATTTTTCAACTTTAATGCAGCCCAAACCGCAAAGTGTATTCGCACTAAAGTTATATCCAAACGACTGGCCCGGCTACGAGATGTGTGCTATTAATTTTATTGGCAATTGGAGTTACCACGGCGACATATTTTGCTAACGAAAATGACAAATTTCCCATAGGAAATGAATAGAAGAAAACTTTTTAAAGAAACTGAGTAACGTCGGGAGCCATTTTGGTTCAACATGCATGGAAGGCACCCATTATTATTAATTAGTAAAAATAATTAAGATAAATTATTGATTCATTTTAATAATTACTAATAACAACATTAATAATTATTAATATTAATAATTTATATTTAATATTACTTATTAATATCAATAGTATCAAATATATTAAGTGTATATAATTAATAAATCAATGATATATTAATAAATAATTATTAACATTATTAATAATATTTATTATTAATAATACTTAAATAATAAATAGGCAGTCCCCGTCAAAGTTTCTCCAGGAACTTTAGTGTAGATCTTAAATCACTGTATACTCGTTCATTTTTTACATTTATATTTTTGCTGGTGGAACTGGGATCTCGAGTTCACACTTTCGTTCCACCTCGTGTACCACGTGATGCAAATGACGTTAGGTCCGCCTGAACGTGGAGTTGGACCAGAACCATCGGACCGGAGCGTGAGCTCCGTGAGTGCCTGGACCGAGTGGAACAGGTTTGTCCACAGCGGGGTGTCCCCCCGGGACAGCCTACCTCCTCCGCGTGTCTCCTCAGCGCCTTCTCGCGCTCGTACTGGGTGAGCAGCTGCTCGTTGTCCTCCTTCAGCAGCTCCAGCTCCACTTCGTGCTCCTTGGTGGCCGCGGACACGGAGTCCAGGTTCTCCAACAAGCCGACCACCAGCGGCATCAGCTCCTTCACCACGTCCTCGTCGTACTTGTCGATGAGCCGCTCGAACTCTCGGTACACTGAGCCGGCCAGACCCGAGACCCGCTCGGACATCACGCTGCAGTCGCCCGGGTCGTCCTGGTACAGAACTACGTCGTCCGGCTCCATTTTCCTGCCGGCGGTTCCTGCTCCAGCTAATGGAGCTAGCCTCCAACTTGAGCCGGACAGTCCGTGCGCCCTGAACTTTAAGCGAGACGAGAGGACTCCGCTGTTACAACAAGTGGTTCCACGTAGCGGACAGGCAGGAAACAGAGGCCGGTGGTTTCCTTGCAATGACGGCCGAGTCCTGAAGTTGTGAAGCCGCTCCGCACAAACACTTCGCGTGACTTCCCCGTCCAGCACCAGCTTATGCTGCGTTCAAGCGCCGTCGGAAAGGTGCCAATAAACTCTGCATAACTCTCAACAAAGTAGAACATGGAACAAAACAGCGCAATAAATAAGTGTTGTCCATCTTTATATAAAGTAGTCACAGTTCGGTGACGTTTGGAAGGCGGAGAGAAAAGCGCGTGAAACAAAATAAACAAATCATGTTGTGACGTTCAATTGCATAATTACCTTCCTGTTCGGATGACGCCTTGTTGCTCCTTTTAGGCTTCGATTGCACGGGATTTTTTACACAATT